CATTGGAACCATGGCTAGGGCTAAAAGTAAGCAGGTTAATACAATAAATGGAGAAAAAGAAATTGGGATGACTTATGCAGCAAGTAGCACCACCAAACAGTACCAGCAGGTTGGTTTGGCAACCCTGGAAATTTGAAATTATGCTAGCCAAAATTAGTGCCAAATAACTGAAGGAACCAAATAACTTATTGCCGAATTTGTGATGGCGGACCTGTATTTATTGTAAGAAATCAAGTGTGGTATGTATGGTAGTCAGCCAGGCTACCATACCAGCTCAACTCATCTACACATAATATTCTATAACATTTAAACATCCCAGAGTGATAAAATGCATATGCAGTTCACTCATTACTTACCTTAAAACATTTGTAGTCTTAATGTAGGGTCAGGGGTGAGTAAACGAGATAAGACGAATAAAAGAGAGAGAGAGAGAGAATAAGTACATGAGGGAGGACAGGCGCAGAGTTATGTAAACAAACCAGGCGAATGCAAGTTTTGTAAACAAACAAAGTGTACATGTCTGGTTTGTGTACCAGTTGTCTCTACATTGATACGGTAGAATAAATAAAGAAGAACACTCCTATTCTCATGTAACACCATTTTTAGAAGAAATGACATTCTGAGTGAAGGCAATGGAAATAAGTCTGTCTGACTTTTTTGGGTTATCCTAAGCACTTTATGCATATGCTGTTATGTATGATAATCTATGCAACTGTATTTGTGTATACCTGAATAAACTTACATATGAAAGGAATAATTTTCTACAGTTACCCCCAGTACATTTTCTCTGATGTTGGACTAGAGAAAATGTTATTCTTGCTGTCACTCGTAGAAGTCTGGCTCCCACATCTCGTGTTTATATTTATCTATTCTACTGTGGGGTGTATTTATCATCTTTATATGTTATGTATTGTGTTTATTATATAATTTTGAAAAAAATATCATAGATGGATTAATGAAAATACATATGTATATTAACGTAATATACGACATTCAATGAGATTTGGCGATTATTACTAATATGGCGTGACTGGTACAAGGCGTCTGGATACCACATCTCGTATTTATGTTTTTTTATTCGACTGTGGAGTGTATTTATCATCTTTATATGTTTTGTATCATGTTTATTATATAATTTTGAAAAAAATATCATAGATGGATTAATGAAAATATGTATATTAATGTAGTATACGACATTTAATGAGACTCGGTGATTATTATTTATTATTTATTATTACTACTACTACTAATATGGTGTCTCGAGACATAAGACACTCTTACTTATTTTAATATGTACCTGCAAGCCAGCACAGTGTGTAAGTTTATTTAGGTACAGGTATACATAAGTATAATTATCAGAGTATATATAAAATATGAAATAACTTTTAAAAACACTTGAAATTTTGGAGTTTCCAGACATAATGGAGAGACTTAGTGCTTACGGATCTCACAGAGAATGTAAACAAACCAGTTGGGGCACGGTGACCATATTAGAAAGTCAGGTGGGGGGAGCCGTATAGTGTGTTTTGGTCATAATTTGAAATGACCGCATTAGCGGAATGCCATAAAGCGAAACACTGTAAAGTGGGGCCCTACTGTACTCATAACCACTGGACACTTTCATTGTGTTGTGTGCGAGTGTGTGTGGACTTCTAAATGTGCCGAGTCAGGGTCTGGCAGCTGTCAAAATGACATATTGTATCATTACTCACTCCCCCTACTGCCTGTCAAAATAGTGGGGTCCAATGCTCACTTCCCCTCCTCCCTCCTACCTAATTATCTTTCTTTCTTCTTCTTTCTCCTTTTTTCTTCTCCTTTCTATTTCATTCTCCTTTCTCTTTCTTTCTTTCTCTGGTATCCTGGGCATTGCTTTTGGCCACAAACTCCTCAGAACCATGAAATTAATCTTCACTGACAATTCCATCTGTGTTAGAGCAATCACTTGGGAAGAGAAGAGTCCCAGATTTGCCAGGGAGTCGCATATTTCTTGCCACAAGGCATGCTGATCAAGGACTACTGAAATGGCATTCCCACAATGCACCACTGGCTCCCTGATTTTTTTTATGTGGCGCACATTGACCATGGAGACCCATTCTCTCATATGTGGGCCTACCAGCTTTCTCTTGCTTGATTTGAAGCTGCTAGAATTTTGGCGTATTAATACGTCAAACACATTGGTTCGTAAGATGTATATATATATGACCAAAACAGTCAAAGGGTTAAGAAAGGAGACAGACACAAGGCATTAAACTACAGAGACCAGTGTCACTGCTGTGTATAGTATGCAAAGTCATGGAGAAGATTATCAGGAGGAGAGTGTTGGAGCACCTAGAGAGGAACAAGCTTATAAATGACAACCAACCCAGTTTTAGGGAAGGGAAATCCTGTGTCACAAACCTACTGGAGTTTTATAACAAGGTAATGGAAGTAAGACATGAGAGAGAGGTGTGGGTTAGATTGCATTTTCTTGGACTGCAAGAAGGCCTTTGACACAGTTCCTCACAAGAGATTAGTGCAAAAGCTAGAGGACCAGGCACACATAACAATAAGAGCACTGCAGTGGATCACAGAATACCTGACAGGGAGGCAACAATGAGTCATGGTACATGACGAGGTGTCAGAGTGGGCACCTGTGACAAGTGGGGTTTCCACAGGGGTCAGTTCTAGGACCAGTGCTATTTTTGGTATACGTGAATAACATGACGGAAGGGATAGACTCAGAAGTGTCCCTGTTTGCAGATGATGTGAAAGTTAATGAGGAGAATTAAATTGGACGAGGATCAGGCAGGACTACAAAGAGACCTGGACAGGCTGCAAACCAGCAACTGGCTACTTGAATTCAATCCCACCAAATGCAAAGTCATGAAGATCAGGGAAAGGCAAAGAAGACCACAGACAGAGTATAGGCTAGGCAGCCAAAGACTGCAAACCTCGATCTAGGAGTGAGTATAATATCAAGTACGTCGCCAGAAGCATACATTAACCAGATAACTGCTGCAGCATAAGGGCGCCTGGCAAACCTGAGAATAGCAGTCCAATACCTCAGCAAGGAATCGTTCAAGACTCTGTACACTGTGTACATCAGGCCCATACTGGAGTATAGAGCACCAGTTTGGAACCCACACTTGATCAAGCACGACAAGAAATTAGAGAAAGTGCAAAGGTTTGCAACAAGATTAGTTCCAAAGCTAAGGGAAATGTCCTACGAAAAAAGGTTAAGGGGAATCAGCCTGATGACACTGGAGGACAGGAGGGTTAGGGGAGACATAATAATGACATACAAAATACTGTGAGGAATTGACAAGGTGGATAGAGACAGGATGTTCCAGGAGATGGGACACAGAAACAAGGGGTCACAATTGGAAATTGAAGATTCAGACGAGTCAAAGAGATGTTAGGAAGTATTTCTTTAGTCACAGAGCACAGAGTTGTCAAGACATTTAATAGTCTGGCTAGGGACAGTGGAGGCAGGAACCATACATAGTTTTAAGACAAGGTATGATAAAACTCATGGAGCAGAGGGAGAGAGAGGACCTAGTAGAGATCAGTGAAGAGGCAGGGCCAGGAGCTATGAATTGACCCCTGCAACCACAAATAGGGGAGTACAAATAGGTGGGTGTACACACACAACACACACACACAACACACACACCAAACCTTTTGAACTGAACACTTGCAGAAATATTATGATGACCACATGCTTACAAGACATTGTTTTCAAACAGTAATGATGTAAACCTCCAATGCTACAGAGCAGAATCAAAAGGGAATTTAGTACTGCCAAGTCATTAGCTAAACTCAGAAATGGAAAACCTAACAGGTGATGGCAATTCTCGTTCATTTATATCCCAGATGACATCTGATCTGCTCATCACTCACCTTACCTGTGTATGATGTGTCATGTTACTTCTTGTAACACTTGGTAAAGTTCTGCCCAGGGCGAAATGTAGTCGAGATTATTACAATAGTGGGGGAAGCTTTAATCAATGAATAGGGGTCATACAGTATCTAGGGGGAATGTGAGGAAAGCAAGTTCAAGACAAGGAAAGAGAGGAACCTCCCTTGAGGGAAGTGTAGTCTACAATAAGGTCAGCTCTACACAGTGACTTTCTACCATACTTACGGCTGCTCTTAATAAGGTAAGTAAAAACATCATCTTGTACCAGTTCCTCAACAATTTATTTTTAAGGCTTTCAAAAAGTCAGTTTACAAACCCTGCAAAGAATAACATCTACAGCATTTAAAGAAGAACCAAGAAAACCCAAGTTAATAAACAAGTAAAATCATAACTTATATTCATTATTTAGACATACTGTATATAATTTTGCAAGTGCTTAAACTAAAACTGATGAGCACCATGAAACAGCTGTGACTTTTTAATATCAAATATTAATTACATTATTAATAGTTTTTAAATAATTTAGTACTGTACACATGGTATACATTACAGTAGTGTATAATACCACTACTGTATATTACTTATCATTATTTCCTTATCACCAAACTACATCTGTTTCACTGTTGCTCATATTAATTATATACTGTACAAATTGTAATTAAATTTTCTCTTCAGTGTAACTTGCTCAAGACTCTAATTGTGTAGTACAACATATAACTAATATTTTACTTATTTTATTACTAAAGAAATTAAAATAAAGCAGTGCTTATAAATACTAAAATAACTAAAATATTTTTTTTGTGATTTTTATTGCAACTGACCAAATTTTTTTTATTACAGCTTTAAAATATTTTAATCAATAATTGTCTGTACCTCCATTGATTTCTGTAGACATTTTGGTACATAAATCATTACTGTGTTCCTTCTAACATTATTAATAAACAATCATAGCAGAGATAAACTGTTCTTATCTTCTACTTCTTTCTTGTATATTTCTTTATCTTGAAACTTCGACATGTCATCATTGTCAAGTGCGAACCTAACTAGTGGTATACACCCCAAAGATGCCATTACAAAAACTATATATTGTTTTTCAACAGGAATTCAGCCAATTGGAAAATAAAAATGAGAGGGTAAAATTGCTTTTGTTAAAATTTTCAACATATTTGGATATTAAAATATATAGTTTTAAAACATTCTTATGTACAGAGTTAAAAGGTAAAGTTAACAATTGTAAATATTACATTGGTAGTGCTGAGTGAGTGACATTAAGACCTATTTTATTTTCATACTAAACTGTACTCATGTGAGCATTATACTCACATGTGTGAACATTATACTCACGTGTGTGAACATTATACTCATGTGTGAACATTATACTCACATGTGTGAACATTATACTCACGTGTGTGAACATTATACTCACATGTGTGAACATTATACTCACGTGTGTGAACATTATACTCACATGTGAACATTATACTCACATGTGTGAACATTATACTCACGTGTGTGAACATTATACTCACATGTGTGAACATTATACTCACATGTGTGAACATTATACTCATGTGTGTGAACATTATACTCACGTGTAAGAGATATCTTTGTAAACCTAAGGTGAAGTGACAGTCTAATATATATATATATACAGTGGACCCCCGCATAGCGAACTTAATCCGTGCAAGAGGGCTGGTCGTTATGCGAAATGTTCGCTATGCGAATTAATTTTCCCCATAAGAAATAATGGAAATATAATTAATCCGTGCAAGACACCCAAAAGTATGAAAAAAAAATTTTTTTACCACAAAAAAATGTTAATTTTAGTACACACAAACTGAAAAAGGCATGCACAATTACATGACACTTACTTTTATTGAAGATCTGGTGATGATTGATGGGATGGGAGGAGGGGAGAGAGAGTGTTAGTGTTTAGAAGGGGAATCCCCTTCCATTAACACTTGAGGAGGCAAGTCCTTTTCCGGGGTTACTTCCCTTCTTCTTTTAATGCCACTAGGACCAGCTTCAGAGTCACTGGACTTCTTTCTGTCCATAGAGCTCTGTACCTCCCGTTCCTTTACGATTTGTCTAAAATGGGCCATAACATTGTCATTGAAATAGTCACCAGCACGCCTTGCAACAGCTGTGTCAGGGTGATTTTCATCCATAAAGGTTTGCAGTTCAACCCACTGTGCACACATTTCCTTAATTTTTGAAGTAGGCACAATGGATTCCACAACTGGCATAGGCTTCTCAGGGTTAGCCCCAAACCCTTCAAAATCTTTCTTAATTTCCATACTAATTCTCACCCTTTTTACCACAGGGTTGGCACTAGAAGCTTTCTTGGGGCCCATGGTCACTTATTTTCAACAAACAGAACCGAAAACACTGTAATAATACGAAATATTCCGAGTGTATGCTTGAATGTTACCGCGGAGGCTAGCTGGTAAACAATGGGACAGGCGGCACATGTGAGGCTGGCTGAGGCCGCACATTGGACGCGTCTCGGACGAAGTTCGCTGAGCGGGTTTTTGTCTACTATGCGGGGCAAAATTTTAGCGATCAAAGCGTTCGCTATGCGGAATGTTCGCTATGCAAGGCGTTCGCTATGCGGGGGTCCACTGTATATATATATATATATATATATATATTAATATTTGAAGGAATCCAATTTAGGTCTTGTACTCTCAAGCTACATACAAGGTGTATATATGATATATTTTATAAGTTAAAGTCAGCTGATCTTCATGTCTTCAAATTGACTGCTGGACGGAGTATGTCTGTCAAGAAAATAGAAAAGAAAAATTAATTTAATGAATCTGAGCTTTTTAATGTCTTGTGGAAAATAACAGTAAGGAAGAAGAGCCTGATTGGTTGGTACAGTGTAAGAGAATCCTCTTATTTTCTGCAACACTGTATCTAGATTATAGATGATAAACTTGAATATAGAGTAACAAGGTGGCTCATAGCTCAATGGTAGTGATTCCAACTCACAACCAAAGTAACCAGGTTCAAAGCTAGGTGAGTAGAGATGAAAGGCAAATGTCCACATGCTTGTTGCTCCTCTTCATCTAGCATTAAATAGGTACCTAACTGATAGGTGACTGCTGTAGGCCTCATCCTAAGGAGTAGTAATACACCTTACATTGAGCTGGAATTTGAAATGTGCTGAGATGGGACAACAGCTCTTAGTGCACAAATTCAATGTTGTACAAAAAGTAGCATTATGTATATAAATTAGTTAGCACAGTTAGGATTGCTAGTCCTTTTTCTTTGTCTCATAAACACACAAGAAGACAGGTAAATCTTGGTGCTACTTACACGTAGCATATACGTACTACACCTGCCATTGTGCATACATCTGCATGTGTGTATATATGAGGTGCTTTCAAAAGTTCCATTACAGCAAAAAAAAAAAAAGGCTTACCTAACCATCCAGTTAAGGTTGTCTCCCTAGAAGTACTCTCCTTGGGAGGTTATACATTGATCCCAGCTCCTCTGCCACTTCCTGAAACATTTCTGGAACCCTTCTTTCCTAACAGCGTCAAGTGTGGTCTGTGATTCTGCTTGAATCTCCTCATGGTGTTAAATGCTGCCCCTTGAGTGCCATTTTCGTTTTTTGGAAGAGAAAGAAATCACAGGGTGCTAGATATAGGGAGTAGGGAGGTTGAAGGATGACTGCCATCTTGTTTCTGGTCACGAGTCAACAAGCAGTTGAAATTTTCATTTGGAATGCTTTGACACAACCCAAAAGAAATTGCCACAACACTTACTATGTCCTGGATACTCTGATGATGATCTTTGTGAATAGTCTTTTTCATAATGATGGATAACCAGCATTCATGATCCTTAAATGATGACTGTCTCGCTTTGAATAGAGATAACCATTCAAAACACTATTGCTTCATCACTTAATGCTTGCTGAAGCATGTTGAAAGTCACAAGCTGTTTCACTGAGCTTGAAACAAAATTTCATCCTTGCTGTTCTTTCTCTTAGAGATTCCATGCTGTTACACAAAAAATCGCAACAATGCCCTAACAACATGACAAAAAATGCTCACTTAACCTCAGTGGAATGACCAACTGCACTGTAACTCACCATGCTACTTCAAACAAGGAGTCTGCTGCATAGTGTGATAATGCCATGGCCATATTTCACCCAGGAAGTGCACAAAAATTTGAGTCTGGGAATTTTTTGATAGCACCTCATACATATGTTTTCTTCCATTCGTTCTTATTAGTTCTTGTCCTTGTCTCCTTTTAATTCCATGGGAAAGTGGGTAAAAATTCCTCTAAACCATGTAAAAAGTGACTAAAATGCCAGGAGCAGGACACTAACAATTCCTTCTTTATATATTACTAAAAAGAAAAAAAAAGGAACTGAAGATAGGTTATTTAAATATATGTGAGCATAGTACTGATAAGAAAAACATGATTGTTAATGTTATGAGAAGATGCTGGATGCTCGAGCACTGAGCAAAATGAAGCTAAAGAGAGTAGGAGAATTTCAAGAGGGAGAGGTAAAGGTAAACGAGTTAAAACAGGTATATCCCATACAACTTGAGTTAGATAAGGAAAAATTACAATATTATAAGTTCAACTATGAATAAAAAAAGATGGGGGCATGTGTTTAAATTCAAGGTGGAATGTGAGAAGTGGCTTATAATGAGTGTCTATATACCTGGAGAGAGGAGTATAAAGGAGAAAGAGGATTTTGGGAGGTGTTAGCCTATGTTCAGGAACTTCTGAGCTAAGTGAGAGAATAGTTGTTGTGGGGACCTAAATGCAAAATTGTAAGAGACTTTTGTAGATGGTGTAGTAGGTAAGTTTGGAGTGCCAGGGGTGAATGATAATGGGGGAATCAAACTGAATTATATATAGAAAGAGGTTTGGTAATGGGCAACATGGATTTATTTTGAGCTATGCATGATTTTGAAGAGTGATGGATCTGTTGGATCAGTATCTACTGGCAGCTGCATGAACACACAAAACAGTGGAGTACAAGGAGAATGTCACTAGTTGGTAAGAGTTAAGTGAGATGAGGAGTATGGCAAAATATAAGCAACTAATGAGAGAAAGGTGGGTTAGAGAGTACAGGTAATGAGGAGGTCAGAGAAGAATGATGAAAATCTAAGAATGCAGTGCTAGAGAGCACAGCAGAAGTTTGTGGGCATGAGAGTTTGGGCACAGATGGGAAAGGAATGTGTCAAGGTAGAAAAAGTTAGCACAAGAGAGGTCTTTCCAATGTAGATGTGATATATGGAGGGCAGAGTATGTGAAGAGAGAAAAAGTTAAGTAGTGAGGGAGAGTGAGAGGAGAGAATGAGGATATGCTGTATCAGCAAATTTTGCAGAGAATAAGAAAAAGTGTTCAAGTGAGATTAAACTGAGAAAACCTATCATACCCTGAGTCTACTGACCAGTAACCCATGATGTTCAGTCTACTCACCAGTAACCCATGATGTCCAGAGTCTACTCACCAGTAGCCCATGATGTCCAGAGTCTACTCACCATTAGCCATGATGTCCAGTCCACTCATCAGTAACCCATCATGTCCAGAGTCTGCTCACAAGTAGCCCATGATCCCCAGTCTGCTCACAAGTAACCCATGATCCCCAGTCTGCTCACGAGTAAACCCATGGAAAAGTGGGTAGATGGTTTCTAACTTTCTTTCCAATATAACACAAAGAGTAATAGCAGTTTAGTCATCCTTTTCCTCATCCTCATACTTGACACAGACAGAGATGTAAACCATAGCAGTCTCTCTTCCTCTGCAGAGAATACTAGAATTTGCATAACTGTGTCATCCACAGAGGACACTGTAAATCTTCAAGTGGATATCAACCAAGTCTTTCAATGAGCTGCAGAAAACAATATGATGCTCAATGCAAATAAATTCCAGCTAGTCAATTATGGACAACTTGAGGAATTAGAAGTTAAAATGGAGTATAAGACCAATTCTAACAACATAATACATCGAAAATCTAATGTGAAGGATTTAGGAGTAATAATATCAGGGTCTCTCCTTCAAGGCTCACAACAATGTCATTATCATAACTGAGGAAAATGATATGATCAATAATGAGAACCTTCAGACCTTCCGTAAGTCACTTGTTCAAGCTAGGCTGGAATACTGGTGTATACTAACAACTTAACTGCACATATAAGTTCAGTAAAGCTTCAATTACTGGGAATGTTTGAAGTCAACCTGTACTCCTTGGAGTGCAGGTGAGAAAGGTACATCATAATTCACATCTGGAAAATCCTTGAGGGACTGGTTCCAAATCTGCACATAGAAAGCACTCTTTATGAAAGCAAAAAACTTGGCATACAGGGCAACATCCCCCTAATGAAAAGCAAGGATGCTGTGAGTACAGTGAGAGAAAACACAGTAAGTGTCAGGGGCCCCAAGGCTCTCCAACAGCCTCCCATCATTCATAAATGGAATTACCAATAGACCCCTGGCTGTCTTCAAGAGGGAACTGGACAGATACCTGAAGTCAGTGCCTGACCAGTCAGGCTGTGGTTCACAATAATGGCCTGATTGATCAGGCCCTGATCCACTGTGAGGCCTGGTCATGGACCGAGCTGCTGGGGCAGGTAGCTGCTTCAAAAACCTTCACTCCTAGCTTGTGTGAGTGCAAGATGGACAACATAGCAGCAAAACCTCCATTTTATGAATATCCTCCCAGTATTATACCAAATTAGATACTTTTATCATTATTAATGTAGCTGGGTAATGTCTGTGTATCCTAGGTAGTAGGTTGGTAGACACCAACCACCCAGGAAGGTACTACCGTCCTGCCAAGTGAGTGTAAAATAGAAGCCTGTAATTGTTTTACATGATGGTAGGATTACTGGTGTCTTTTTTTCTATCTCATAAACATGCAAGATTTCAGGTATGTCTTGCTACTTCTACTTACACTTAGGTCACACTACACTTGCATGTACAAGATATTTCCACCTCCACTGGGCTTTGTTCTATTTTCTTAATAGTTCTTGTTCTTGTTTATTTCTTATCTCTATGGGAAAGTGGAACAGAATTCTTCCTCTGTAAGCCATGCATGTCATAAGAACTGACTAACATGCCGGAAGCAAAGGGCTAGTAACCCCTTCTCCTGTATGCATTACTAAAGTTAAAAAGAGAAACTTTTGTTTTTCTTTTTGGGCCACCCAGCCTCAGTGGGATGGCTGGTTTGTTGAAAGAAGAAGATGTTTGTAAATATCATGAGCTATAGGTAAAAGAGTACTCTATATATAAGGGGCTGTCATGTTGATGTTGAGCACTTTTACTGTTTTAATATATTGGTTGATGGCTGTGTGTTACTGCAGTGCTGCTGACTCTCATGTCCTCTTAACTCAACCCTCTATGTGACTCTCAGGTTATTACTCTCTCTTGAGTATAATACAGCGTTGTAGTGTAAGTCAAGGTTGCTTCGTTTTGTATAATACAGTACTTCATTTTCTTGATACACAAAGCAGCACCTGGAATCTTATTATAAACGCTTTAGTTTCTCCTACAGAACTCTTCTTAAAACTTAAAAACACATTTAAAATGTCTGGGGCAAGACAATATTACCACATTTACAAAGAATAGCAAATACAAGTCTTCAATGGCATAAATAAATGTTCATGAATATTACCTTCACGTGCAAAATTACAGTAATTATTTAAGGGTTATTAACCCTCTGAGGGTTCGTCCCACAGTTCTACGGCTTTGAAGCCAGGGTCCAAGCTGTAGTATTTGGGCCTAGATATGAGAGAATACATCTATGTGGTAAGTGTGCACTACATAAAATAAATCTTGCAGTATGCAGTGCATAATATGAAAAAAAACTGAGACAATGTTTTTTTTGGATTAATACACTGACACTGTGGTGTATTTTCGTATGTTTTTTACAGTTGTATTCACGGTTTCTTGGTCTCATTTGATAAAATGGAGGATATATTACAGAAACATTAGTGATTTTGATTGGTTTTAGTAATGAAAATGGCTTGAAACTGAGCTCAAAGTAGCGAAAATGTTAAATTTTTGCTGATGTTCAAAAGTAAACAAATGACATCACGCATCCAATACACATCAGCTGGTGGGTCTGATGTGTGTTCACGAATGCACTGATATTATTTATACAATTGTTACAATATTGCTTAACAGTAAATCTATTTTTTGGTGTGAATAAAAATTCATTATGTGAATAAAAAATAAAAATGTAATTCATGTGTAAAGCCTGGAAACATAACTAATAAACAGAGGAAATGTTATTTTAGTGCCAGAAATGCCTGCATTGTTTATTCTGGACCCTATTTTGAAACAGGAATATTTTGAACTTGTGTTAAATTGGCCAAATTACCAATTTCCAATAACTCTGTTGGGTAGTTGGAATAGTTGATTGGGCAATTTCTTGTGCTCAATCGATAAAACAGAAGTAATACTAGCAAAATAGCTAAGAATTTGGTCAACTTGAATAGTGTAACTGGCATAAAATGGGAGTCAAATTGGGCAAAATCGCCAATGTGTAAATATCGCTGATGCAGCAAAATTTGCAAGACCATAATTTCGTCAAATATGCATCAAATTTCATACTTTCTGTTTTATTACCTTCAGAAAAAGATTCCCTACCATTTCATAAGAAATTTTTTTTTTGAAACTTCTTGGACCCTGTGGACAAGTTCAGATCTGGGGGTCTGGACCCTGAAAGGGTTAAACCATAATTACAGTGTGAGGTGTCCATATATGAATGAGATACATATTCACAAATGTATAAACACTTGTATAATTTACATCAACAATTTCTCACATGTCAGTAGAAATGTAACAGGTACACAAACATACACAAGCAGATATGCTCATATGCAGTACTCACCTAAAGTACTGAAACAGTACTCATGTGTGTATGCCTACATACACACACACACACACACAGCATGTAGGGCATACATACAGTGCATGCAAGAATTCATTCTGGTGCACATGCACTTTAAGTTACTGCTCAAGCAAGGTTGCTAAGCGCAGGGTACTAACCATGCAGGGGACGGAGCGGACACCACACACTCGCTGCCACTAATAGTCATAAAATTCACTGAAACATTCACAAAACAGGGTTAATGCAAAGTATATTAATAATCCTGAACAAACATTTATGGAATATCATACATGATTTGCAGTTTTAAATTTTAACAAAAACAAGTTAAATAAAATCCTGCAAAAAAAGATACGTATTTGTAATTCAGAACTAAAAAATACCTTATGTGATATTAAGATGATTATTTTCACTCTATCAAGTAAATAATTAGACACAGGTAAGTGGTTTTTGAAATAATGAGACATAAGCTGGTGGTCTGTTGAAATAATTAAACATAGGTAGGTAGTCTCTTAATATATAAGTATAATGAGACATAGGTAGATGGTCTCTTGAAATAAATAATTTGGTCGATGATGTCTCGAAATAAATACAGTGGACCCCCGGTATTCGATGGCATCGGTATTCGATAAATCCGGTATTCGATGCATTATATCGCAAAAAATTTTCCTCGGTATTCGATTGAAAACCCGGTGTTCGATACGATTCGTACGAGACCTGTCCACATGTGGCCTGAACTGCCCCGTGTGTGCCAGTGTTTACAAGCCAGCCAGTGTGCGCGCATCTAAGGATACATTCGGTACATTCCATATTATCCATATTATCACTGTGTTTGGTGCTTGTTTCTGCAAAATAAGTCACCATGGGCCCCAAGAAAGCTTCTAGTGCCAACCCTGTGGTAAAAAGGGTGAGAATTAGTATGGAAATTAAGAAAGATTTTGAAGGGTTGGGGCTAATAACCCTGAGAAGCCTATGCCAGTTGTGGAATCCATTGTGCCTACTTCAAAAATTAAGGAAATGTGTGCACAGTGGGTTGAAGTGCAAACCTTTATGGATGAAAATCACCCTAACACAGCTATTGCAAGCCGTGCTGGTGACTATTACAATGACAATGTTGTGGCCCATTTTAGACAAATCGTAAAGGAACTGGAGGTACAGAGCTCTATGGACAGATTTGTTGTGTGACAGAGGTCCAGTGACTCTCAAGCTGGTCCTAGTGGCATTAAAAGAAGAAGGGAAGTAACCCCAGAAAAGGACTTGCTACCTCAAGTCCTAATGGAAGGGGATTCCCCTTCTAAACACTAACACCTCTCCCCTCCTCCCATCCCATCAATCATCACCAGATTTTCATTAAAGGTAAGTGTCAATTATTTTATTGTTATTGTAATTATTCTATTGCATTAAACTAAATACGTATTTCATGTAGTAAAATTTTTTTTTTCATACTTTTGGGTGTCTTGCATGGATTAATTTGGTTTCCATTATTTCTTATGAGGAAAATTGATTCGGTTTTCGATATTATCGGTATTCGATGAGCTCTCAGGAACGGATTAATATCGAATACCGGGGGTCCACTGTAATTAGGTTGATGGCGTCTTGAAATAAATAATTAGATTGATGGTGTCTTGAAGTACAGGCTCTCCTCACTTAATGACAGAGTTCTGTTCCTAAAATCACATTGGTAAATGAATTCATCACTAAGCAAGGAGCATACTGGAATGGTAGTGGGTTTGTGTCAACCATCTTTGTTGTTGTTTTACTGTCACCTTTGCGCCATTTATAACATTTTTAGTATATTTTTAAATGTTTATACAGTAATGTGCTGTATATTGTAATAAACAGGATAGAGGAAATCAGCTCTAATGTACATAAATTAGGTATGAATACTGGTCAGAAAGCCCATCATAAGTCTGAGTTGTCGGCAAATGAGTACATCACTAAATGAGGAGAGGCTGTATTTATTTCAAGACACCATCGACCTAATTATTTACAGCCTCTCCTCACTTAGCGATGTATTCATTTACCGACAACTCAAACTTACAACAGGCTCTCTGACCAGTATGCATCCTAATTAATGTACAGTGGAACCCCGGATATCGGCCAAATCGGATTTCGGCCACTTTTTTGGCTGAAATTGTCCTGGATTTCAGCCGGCAACTTGGAAATTGGCCGTATTGGACGCATCTACTCCGCCGCATTCGTGAGTACTCTGGCTGTGTGTCTGGGTGAGTGAACAACATTCGCACATTCATCCAAACATTTCATTATGATCCATTGTTTTTTGTGGTTGTTTATTGAGTGCGACTGTGAAATAAGCCACCAAGGGCCCAGAGAAACACGTTACATAGTATATAAAAACATGCAATATTTATATGCAATCTATGTTTAATAATAATCACTCTTGGGCACATTAAATGTCTTTTTTTAGGTTAATATAGATATTTTCATTAATCCATCTATGATATTTTCTTCAAAATTATATAAGAAACACTTTACATAGCATATAAACATTGCGAGTGGCGAGTTGGGTGGAGAGTAAACATTACGTTTTCTCTGATTCAGTGTTAGAGAAAACTGTGAAACTGGTGTCTAGCCCAGTCATGTGCATTTGTTTACAATTCTCGGCATGAATTATTCATTACTTCTCCCTTTGTTTATGATGGCATCTAAAGGTAGCTGTTAGAAACAAATAAACTCAGTGAACATGGTAATAACATGGCTGTGTATAGTGTAATAATAAGGCTGTGTAGTGTAGCCCAGGGGGGCTACATACGTGTATGTACGTATGTCTACCGCTGCCTACACTGACCTCCTACAAATAAATACTACTCACCTCTTGCCCCACATTAAGACTACAAATATTTTAAGGTAAGTAATGAATGTACTGTGGCAGTAAATGACAAAGAAGGGAAGTAACCCTAGAGAGGGTTTTGATACCTGAAATCCTTATGGAGGGGGATTCCCAACTTCCTCTCCCCTCCTTGCCTTCTTCAATATGCCAACAAGAGTCTTCAATAAAGGTATGTAATGTTCATTTACCATTAAAATTTGTGCTTTATATTTATTTCTCGCCATTTTCTGTATGCAAAACTATAGTTAATCTTTAAAAATGTACTTTTTGTTAATATTTTTGGGTGTCTGGAACAGATTAATTGTATTTACATTAATTCTCATGGGAAATATAACTTCGGTTTTCGGCCTTTTCGGACTTAGGCTGACCTTCTGGAATGGATTATGGCCAATAACCGGGGTTACACTATATATTAGAGCTGATTTCCTCTATTGTGTTTATTACAACAGACAGCATATTACTGTATGAACATTTAAAAAAATACTAAAAATGTTATAAATGGTGCAAAGGTGACATTAAAACAATATCAAAGACGTTGATACAAACCCACTAACGTTATATGTAGTATGCTCCTTGCTTAGTGACAAATTTGCTTACCAACATGGGCTTAGGAAAGGAACTCTGTCATTAAGTGAGGAGACGCTGTAATTAGGTTGATAGTGTCTTGAGATAAATAATTAGGTTGATAGTGTCTTGAATTAAAACAGTTTATTAATCATCAAAGCAGGTTACTCATGTAATGTCATGTACTGTATTTCAGTTTAATTTATGTAATATACTGGAACTTGGTGTAAATAATATTATGTGCAGTAAACTCACATTTAAGATACATTCACATAGGACGTTTCTCTGATAAGATGGTTGAAAAATTGCAGCATACATTAGCATAGGATGTGACAGAACTTGCATTATACAACATAATTTTAGGGGTAAATACAGGACACAGCAGAACCTTTCATTCCACCTGGTGACTCAGACTATGGACCACTGTCTTGATAAGTGAGGCCTACTGTGACTGGTGGTGTAAACAACCTCCCATGACCTCACTTCTCTGTGCATACATGTGTCCCGTACATACTCAGTCTTGTGTTACTGAATTAATTTATCTTTTTATCAGTTCATCTCATCTCTGGATAGTAACCATGGCACCCAACAGGAATGTGAGTGATGCTGGAAGTGCCTAGAAGAAGCATGAAATGCTGTCTAGAAAAAAAAAATGAAATTTTAGATAAGCTTAACCCTTTAACTTTCCAAATGTTGATCTCGTTTTCACTGCTAGTGCTCTGCATATTTTTTTTAAACAAGGAGGGCAATTTTCTGTGTGTAATAAGACCAAAAAAAAAAAAAATACGTGCCAGTACTTATCGAGATATAAGGCAGCAAAGTTGGCACTGGATGCTCACCTAATACTTACAGAAATGTTGCCGATATACCTTTTTTCTTGTTTTATTTAATTTAAGTAACTTTTATGTTCTGATAATTACAATTTATAGTAGTTTTTGTGATTTTATAGCCAATCTTTGTTCTGATACTAATATTACGTACTGAAATAGTAATCAAATACAGCCTTTCCTCACTTAGCAACATATTCGTTTACCGATGACTTGGACTTATGAAAGGCTCTCTGACCAGTATGCATACTTAACCCTTAAACTGTCCACATGCAGATATATGTTGACGTGTGGCAGGCTCCGAACATAGATCAATGTTTTATTTTTCATTCCTTCAAATTTGGTGCGATAGGCCTGAGTCACCTAGACATGAAAGAATGGGTCTGTACACTCAGTGTGCGCACTATGAAAAAAAAATCTGGGAGCACTTAGTACCTTGTGGGAGCACCAGTTCAACTGAGTGCCAGCTAGAGCAAATATCGTGGCAAACACCAGGGATTCACTGATGTCATGTCATGTTAACACTCACATTTTAAGAGGAAAGTAAAAACAGGTTAGATAAATGCATGAGTGGGTGTGAGTTGGACCTGACTAGCTTGTGCTACTAGGTCAGATGTCATGCTCCTTTTTTCAGTGGATGTGACCTGACTAGGTGGGTCATTGGTCTAAGCCGGGGGTGACATGGACCCACTTTGCATGGGCCAGTAGACCTGCTGCAGTGTTCCTTCTTTATGTTCTTATGTATTCGGCTGGCTTTGGCTGTCTGTGTCTGTATCTGTCTATATCACTGTTTATCTGTATCTCTGTCTATATCTCTGTCTCTCACATGAACTCATAAATACAGTTCTTCTTTCAACACACCGGCCGTATCCCACCGAGGCGGGGTGGCCCAAAAGAAAAAAAACGCAAGTTTCTCATTTTACATTTAGTAATATATACAGGAGAAGGGGTTACTAGCCCCTTGCTCCTGGCATTTT